ACTCTCCACTCCAGTGCCCAGGCAGAAAGATGCTCCAGGCATCTCATTATTCTCACAAAAAGGCCGGCCTATCACATATGGAATTAGGATTGCTCTCAGCCTAGCAGTTTGACCCTGTTCCTGCCTTCCTGGTCCATTCCATGGGGATGGCACTGAGTAGACACTTAGAGTGGGCCTCCTGAGGAAATGCCTTTTCCCAGCCTGTCTTCCTACCCAAACTTGATTGGGCTTGGTTGCTGAAGGAGGGGGAGAGCAGAGGCGACACCCCTTGGCACCCCCCACCCCCGACAACTCTGTTATTTCATCAGTCTCAGCCCTTTTTTAGCATTCCAACCATCTGAAATTGTTACTCTTTGTAGATCCCATTTTGAAACTATTGCCAGAGTGGAGTGGAAAGGGGATATCGGTCCCCAGTACAGCTTTCTAACCTCACTGGAGGAGAAGGTACAGGGAGGTAGTGTGGCTTTGGGGAAAAACAGGCCCTGTAGAAAAGCTGAGTAGCCAGATGTTCACTTTCACAGCTCTCCTGGAAGACTGGCAGGGCAGATAGAGATTAAAATGAAGCACAAACTCCATTTAAAGTGCATTACAGCTCAGGAACCAGCTCCCCTTGGGCAGGGGAAGGGAGGAAAGGGCACAAGAGGCCACATCTCTTCTTCCTTATCTAGGGCCACATGTCTCTCTCCTAGCTTTGTGAAGGGTGATTTACACCCCTGGCTGGGATGACTCTCTTTCTGGGCTGATTACATCGGCAAATGCCCCCCAGAGGCCACAGCAGGATGGCCATATTGAGAAGCAGCAGCCAATAAATCTCAGAGGTTTATACTGCATTTCTTGATACCCTCCTCCTGGCCCTCTGCCAGGCCTCTGTAGAAGTGAGGAGAGGGCTTGGGCTGCAGGGTTAGGAGACAAAACCCTCCACTTCCTTTCATTATCTTCTTTCTCTTTCTAAGCACTGCTTAGTTATTCTTCCAAGTCATTGTGCCTCTGTTTATCCTGGGAGCAGGTGGGAATCAACCCTAGGCTCGACAAATACCCTTACCCTTGTGGGTAGAAATCCTGGGCTCTTGGCACAGCTGTGTTTCTACCTCACTGTTTACTCTTGATAGAGTAGGTTGCTTTCAGAAACATCGACCTGAAAATGAGGAGGCTGCTAAATGGTCTCTCTAGCACCTTCTTCAGGGATCCTGTCTTATCTATCTCCAGGGAAACCTCTAATCTGAGGAGGGTTTAATCCTTCCACCCTCCCTAATGACACTGAAGGGGTTGAATTTTGGAGGAGGCTAGTCTGGCAAAAGTCCTGGAATCTGGCCGCAGGACTGTCCTCAGCACAGCCATTTCACCTGTCTGGGACCCATCTCTGCAGAATCATGGGGTTAATGATAACAGCCCGACCTTACCCTTGAAGATACTTACAAGGGGGAAATGGAGGCAAAGATGTGCAAATTCTATA